GCTGGTGCTCCAGGTTTGGTTAGAAATTCGGGTGGCAGCCAGCCTGTAATGTGTCCCAGGTTTGGCATAGTCTTGGAGTTCTATTTAATTAATCCCCCCAGTGTTGTCCCATAACCTGCAACCAACGTTGTCCCTGTCCTGCAGCCACTGCCTTACTCCTGTCCTGAGCGTAGTTTCTTCCACAGCTACTTGACTGGTTTGAAACCGGCGCATTATCTTAAATAATGTAAATTATTTATTTGTGCACATGGTTGTTTCACCACTTGTAAACGATGTGCAAATCTGGTTGCCGCAGGACTTAATGGAGCTGCTGGATTGTAGCTTCCAACCAGAAGGCATCCAGGATCCTTAAAAAACTTCAGATTGATAATGCATATGCCAAATGGCATTGCCTTTAATTATAACACAGTTATTTTTTTTCCTTCACTTTTGCTTTAACTGTAGCTTGAGAGGAATCTTGTTCTATGGAGAAGAAAACTTCAATATACTCAAACTTTCTCATCAAACTTGGTTTTGTGTATAGTGGTCTGTAATCCTAAGTGGCAGAGTGGAAAACCTACTCATGGCCCACAATGCCTCCTGATTGTATCCATGAAAAAGCTGCTGTTCAGCTGAGATCTGTCTGCTTTTAAAGTGAAGAGGGGAAGAAAAGAGGGTTTGGGGGTTGTCTCATGTGCGGTTGGAGGCCTTGTGTTGTAAAGGAAGTGTGCAAATAATTTGTGATGCTTGTATAAGGTGTGTGGCATTTCAGTGCTGCAGTGTTGGCTGGGGCTGGGATTCCCCCATGTGTTAGATGCTGTGTAATTTGGGAGGAATAATTTTGTTTTAGTGGCTTGTGAGAGCTGTGTTCAGGTTGCAAGCATGTCTTCCTGTACCAAGCTGGAAGTGAAATCTAGTTACAAGCGGCTAGTAAATGGAACCAGAAAAATAATATTCTGTTCCTGTCTTGAAAGGCTGCAACAAAGAAAGAAAATAATGGTGGCTAATACATGGATGCATTTTTAACGTCTGACATTGACTATTGCAATCTGTTCTTTCACAGTATTCCCTTTTCCTGCAAGAAGTAGGTGAGCTGCAGGAAAGCCCCAAACTCTTACCTTTCCTCCTCTTTTTTCCTTGCGGTGGGTGTAAAACTTACACAAGCAAATGCCGCTGATTTGTGAACTGAGGAATGGGTATTTTTATTTTTTTTTTAAAGGAATTTTCTGGTCCTTACAGCTGTCTGGGAAGAGTGGGGGGGAACTTCCAGATGTTAACTAAGTAATAAATCGATACAGTGCCGTCTTTGTGTCAGTAGACAAATCACCCTTGTGCCTGCAGTGCTTCTAGACTCGCCAACCTAAGGCAAAGTGAATTATACCAGCGTCTGTCAATTTTCAGAGCTAATATTGATAACTTTTCTGTGGGCAGCAATTAAAATTGGTTAAAAATAAAATAAAATAAAAATTAGGCCGCTGCCACATTGACCACCAGGGTCATCGCTGGTTGTGGAGCGCCCTGCAGCGCCTCTTGGGTCCTTTTGTGGGACCCACCAGGGACACCCAGGCAGGAGGAATGAGCAGTTCGGTGTCCCCCGTCGGTGGAGCTGGCTGCCCGTGGGTGGGAGCAGGGTCAGAGCTCGCAGGGAGCCTCTATCTGCAGACAGGACTGTGCAACTGCTTCACTTACTACAAAAGCTGGAAGAAACAGTGTTTTTCTTTACATCAGTGTCTGCTGCTGGTGGATGCTTGCCAGGAGTCAAATCCTATGTCCTTGGCACAGGTTAGATGAAAATATGAGATAGCCCAGACTGTCAAGCTGGTCCCTTTCTGAGGGCAAACTAAGGACGTGTGATTTTAAGTCGTTGACCTCCGAGTACATTACACTTGGTCTGGGCTCTGTTGAGCCAAAGCTGGGGCAGGTATTTGTGCTAGTGCTCTTTGCTAGAAATTGTTCTATTTTTAGTACAGATAATGTGAAGAAATGTGGTTTTTCTTTAGAAGCAGCGAAAGCGTTGTATGAAGTGTTGCTCCCACATACACATGCTTCCTCCACCTACGCACTTGTCTGAGTTGTTTGTGCTTTTTTCTGGGTTTGAGGCTTTACTAGTCGTAGGCTTGCAAAGCTGTCTTGTACGATCCTTGGTTGTGAAGTGTTGCATGTGCCTCATGGGTTCACTCTGCTCGTAATACGGTCATGCCTCAGGTTTATGTTTAGATAGGTTTCTTCAAAAATCGCTTTGAAACCGTGTGTCCTTTTTACATTTTCATCGGAACCGGTACTGCTTCCTTTTGTAGCATGGCTGAAATGCATTCTGTGAGCCTAAGCTGTTCAGCAGCTTTGAAAAAAGTGGATTCACCTTAAAAAAAAAAAAAGGGGGGGAGTGTCAAAAATCAAGACATGCAAGTGCTGCTTCCTTATGTCTGGGATTAGAAACTTTAAGGGAAAAAATATTTTTGGGCAGTGTTTAAACTACTGGCTCTCAGAACTGTCGGTAGTCTGGTAGCGCATTGTTTGCATTAGATGTATAAGGAGGGCTTTGCTTTACCGGCTGTTTGGCTGTTAAATACTGTTGTTCGAAAGTTGTGGGTCCCTTGAGGGTAGCAGGCGGTGTATTCAAAGTGAAAGTAGGTTACTGATTCTGCAGAGTGAAGTGGTTTTAAGACCAAATAGCTTTGATAACTCGGAATAATCCCCTTTGTTGTTTTTATTTGAAGTGGTACTGCGTTCATACAAAGTGGTTTATTAAATATTCCTTAAATGAGCAGAGGTGAAATGATGGCAGGATAGGTAAAGAGACTATTTTGACGTTCAGTAAATGGGGGGTGAAGGTAAAGCTTCCTTTTCATGACAAGTTTTTTTGCTTTTTCTGGCTGTCTAGCAGCAGCATTCTGATAGGCTTCCTGATTTACTCATGCAACTTGAGAGATGCTTAGTATGCTGAGGAAATCATCGGGTATCATTTTCTACGTGACATAGTGATTTTTCTGACCTTCTGAATAATTCATTAGATTTTGTTAAAGGAAAAGCTAAACTGGATTTCATCATGCCCACTGCTCTCTAAGAGCTTTCCTGTGTATAAGATTTTCAATTTTGGCTTGCAATCACAACCAGTTTATTTTATTATTTACTAGCTTTTCCATCTGAATATTACTTGTGATCGCAAGCCAATATTAACAGCCCCGTCTCCACGTATTTCCTGGCCCAGCTGGGTCTTGGCTCTCGTCTTCCTCTGGAGCTGGGAAGCTGGGGCCCGAGAGCCTGCTGAGGATGGAGCGAGTGTGCAGCAGCGGGAATAGACCCTGCTCTTGCGGTGCTGTGAGTCTGTCTGCAGGTCACTCTGTCAGGCATCTGCTTTTTGAGTGCATTTGGAGAACTGTGCAAGAATCTGTTTTAATTAACTTTAAGCTGGTAATCTATTACTGGTCAGTCAGTTTCCCCAGTGCGTCACTTCACCCAGATTGTAGGGCACAGTTCTGACTTCTTTATTATTCAAACCACCAAGACCATTGGTAGGTTTGTCTCGTGTTCAATTCAATTCACTTCAAAGGGGAAATTTCTGGTGGAACAGTAAAATAGAAACTGTAGTATGTAAACTCTATCAAAACATGTTTGGATGGAAGTTACTGCATCCGTAGTGTGGAGAGTATTTTAACTTAGTACGGTGTGGAAGGAAATTTATCATAAAAATCCATAATACTTCTTCAGGTTGCTTGGTTTTTATTGTTGCTCCAAGAATACCAATAATAAAAATGGCCATATGATTCTGCAAAATCCAAGTGTTTTGTACTCGTCTGCTGGGCTTAGCCTAAGCTTTATAGCCTCAAGGAAATTGTCAGATTCCGATAGCAGGGATCTGGTTTTCTTCATATTTAGCTCCTCGATCCTTCCATTTTCTGTTAGGACCCTTCTCTGTCCCGTAGTCATGGGATGTCTCTTAGGCTCTGTCCTTAGTTCTTCTCTTCTGCGCCCTCCAGTCACAGGTTTAGCTCTGAGTGTGCTGTTTGGTCAGGAGTTCCAACATATTTCTGATTTGATCTGCACAGCCAAAAATCTTGGCTTGATGCTGCAATACTGTGCTACCAAAATGTAATTGTCCTGATGAAAAATAGATGTGAGAGATTGATTACTTGTATTCATTAGGGATCACGTGGCATTTTTTGCAAGAGGAAGTAAGTGTCCTGGTCAAATTCCAACTTGGATAGCTGCAAGTGAAATCTGGATGGGCAAATGTAATATTGTTTGGCTACTGCATTGAGGAATAAGTAGCTGGGGAAAGGGAGAACAAGACAAAAGAATAAATGCCTTAAATCAAGAGGCTGTATGAGGGATCTCTGAGGTGGAAACAAGCAGGGGACGCGGTGTTCTTAGTCTGATTTAGTCCTGCAAGTCGAAAATGTCTCCGTTGAAATTCTTAATGCGTATCTCCATTAATGGAATGTTGTTGAGTATAACATGTCCTCTTTCTGGGTGAGCGTGGGCGCCCTTTGGGAGATGCAGAAGGATAGAGGTACTCCTGTGTAGGCATGCACCTTGTTTGATGGAGAGCTGTATGGGAGCAGAGCAGACTTTTGGGGCCATCAGTGCCCCCAAGAGTCCAGGAGAACTGCAGAGCAGCATCTTGGCCCAGCGTTGAGGCAGGTGGCGGTGATCTTTGGTGGGTAGAGAATATTCATTGTCTTGGTTTCCATATCTCAGCAGCCTAGTACCAGTTCTGATCCCCACAAAAAGTGCATGTATTTGTACCTAACTGCCAGTTTTGCTTGAGACAGTGCTACAGGACAGCCCACCCCCAGCAGTGCAGCTCGTGGATAATATACCCTGTGCTTTACCCCAATTGTACAAACTCAAACCAAAAGAATTTGCTGGCAATTTTAGTGATTTTTTTTTTTAAATTGACTTTATTTTCTCTGTTGTCTTTTATAGATAAAATGTTCAACGGTTCATTGGCAACTTTCTCCAGAAGAATAATTACTACTGCTCTGCTTTTGCCATAATACCAGAATTCTGTGACCTACACATCAGTGCTAAAGACCAGCAGAGAATCGTATTTTGTTCATTCTGTGTAGATGGAACAGGCATCGGTCTTGGGAGTCCATCCTGATTTAAAGCTGCTTACTTGGTTTTCTGGGATTAAAGGTGCTCAATGAATCAGGGCCCCCCAAATGAGTCAAACAGCCAATTCTTGCCAACAGTTGGTTGAAAACTGTGCCGCGCATGTAGCAGGGATGGCGCAAGAGGACAGTCGCCGTGGACAGGTGCCACCCACGTTTTATCACGGTGCCAGCCAGGAACTCGATCTGTCCACCAAAGTATACAAGAGGGAGTCAGGAAGTCCTTACTCCGTGCTGGTGGACAGCAAAATGAGTAAACCACATCTCCATGAAAGAGAGGAGCAGCCATATTTCAGGGAGAACAGATCGGTAGGAGAGGTCCGGGCTGTGAAAGAAGATAGAGAAAACTCTGACGACTCTGAGGAGGAAGAAGAGGAGGAAGATGAAGTGACTTACAAAAGGGAGCAGATTATAGTAGAGGTAAACCTTAACAACCAAACATTAAATGTATCAAAAGGGGAGAAGGGTGTCCCCTCCCAGTCCAAAGAGACTGCTGTTCTTAAGACCAGCAGTGAGGAAGAGGAGGGTGACAGTTCTGGGGAAGAGGCCACTGAAGACAGTAGTGATTATGAGGAAAATTCGAGGCAGAAGAAAAAAGAGAAAAGAGTGGAAAAAGTTAGTGTTGCACAAAGGAGAACAAGGAGAGCTGCATCTGCTGCAGCAGCCACAACTTCCCCATCACCCCGAACTACGAGTGTGGAGCCCCCCAAGCGTAAGAAGAAAGCTGCAAAGGAGCCCAAGGCACCTGTGCAGAAATCAAAGTGTGAAGAGAAGGAGACTTTAACCTGTGAGAAGTGCCCCAGGGTGTTTAACACACGCTGGTACCTGGAGAAGCACATGAACGTCACTCACAGGCGCATGCAGATCTGCGACAAATGTGGGAAGAAATTTGTTCTAGAAAGTGAGCTGTCCCTTCACCAGCAAACAGACTGTGAAAAAAATATCCAGGTAGGTTCGCTCACCTGCTTGCCAGATTTCCATACCTTCTGTCGTGCCCTAGATACAGCTAGTGGACACTTCAGAGGGGGAAATCTTTTGTGCAGACCAGGTTCTGACCGAGACCTTGTCTCTACGTATCAACACTTTGGTGTCTTCCAAAAGAAGTAAATTGCAGGGAACAGAGTGTTCGACTGACATCTGCTTTAGCAGAGTTACTCTAGTATCTAACTACGAGCTGGGGAAAATGCAAAGCTACTTTAACAGATGTCAGTCTCAAGAGTAACTGGCCTGAAAACACGTGCGTTTGCAGTGAAGTACTTTGACAGGATAAACCCACCTTTTTCAGGTGCTGAGCACCTGCAGCTATCGCTAGCTTAAAAATTCCAAGTGTTTCAGTGTCCTGAAACTCGGTGACAGAGTATGTCCAGGTAAGGTTTCAAAGGAGAACGGAATTATGGCACTTTGCTGGTATTGGAATCAGAAATTTGTAAAGTAGCAGAGAGGCAAGCAGGTGAGAAAGAAACTAGTGAAGTCAGGATTTGAACTTGTATGAAATGTAACTTTTTAAAATCCTACTGAGATAATTATATATGGGCAATTCCCAGTAGTGTTCATGTGTGCAGATGGAAGTGTATGAATTCAGAGACTCAATCTGTTCGTGAGCCTGCCCTTTTCCCGGTGTAAAAAGCTCATTAAATCTTACTGATAATATAAAGATCTCTGGACTTTCTCACCAGAAGATTTGCAGCTTTTCATTTTATACGACATGAAGCCTGTGGTGTAATAGAAGCGTTTTAAAGTTTGAGTTGTGGAAGGAGTTTCAGAGTTTCTGGTTCATCTGTTGTTTGTACTTGGCTCATAGGCATCCATGTTCTCGTTTAACTGGGGCGCTTGTTTTATCTGGCGATTCGAACGTGCCTTGTTAAACCAGGCACAGTGTTGCCACCTACTTCTGAATTAATCCCACTGCCAGCGTGAAGCAGCTTGAGTTCAATTTTTGTGCAGCTGAAAGGTTGAGACTTTCTAGGGCAACGAGTTTTTTGTCTGTCCAATGAGTTTTACCAGACAATTTTAAGATATTGTTTGTTTGCTTAAATGCTAAACTGGATTGGTATTCAATTCCCACTGTGGGAGATAGCTGAAGTATTTATTGCAATTTCTCTTTGCTGTAAGACTCAAATGCAGCTCTATATAACGCTATGCTATTTTTCCTTATGTTTCAGCTCGTAGGAGGAAGACTGAAGGAAGGAGTATAATATAAGATAATGAGTCTTGAGCATAGTTAGTGAAATACATAAACATTTCAGTATGTCCTTGCAGTTTTTGAAATAAATACTTCAAAAGTTCAGTGTAGCAGAGAACATTTAAATGTAAATTTAAGGAGTGCCCTAACATCCAGGTGGCTCATTCACAGCATAAAGTCTTTTGACTTTAAACAGAAATTCATGCATAGTTTGAACACATGTGGTATAGAATGGAGAAGTATCCTGTAATCCACACACACGCTTGTTTCTGTGGGGTTACATTCCTATGCCCAAAAGCGATAGGAAAAGAAGAAATTGTAGAAATCGTGGTTTATATCCAGTACCAGAAAAATCAGGTCCAGAAACTTTCCCAGATATTTCTAGTGGCAGAAGTGCTGCTAGTCATCCCCATGTTCTCAATATAAGCATATATTCAACAATTATTTTTGTCTGCCCTGACGTTTGGAATGTGTTTTGCAGCTGCCTGCTAATTTGTTTTTATTACACTTGGCAAAAGGAGTAAGGGGGTATGAAAGTTTTGCATTAATGTAGGGTTCAAATATGTCAAGGGGGATATGGAGCTTCATCTAGGGGAAGAAATGGTTTCATTATGTAAGGGGTAATTGAACTGATAAACATGGCTGGCTCCTCTTTATATTTTTCATCTAAGTGATGGAATATATCTGCTTTTCCAGGTAATTTCTGGTTTTCATCCTTTCAAAATTAGCACCTTCACAGAATTTCTGTTGTCACCTTAGACCCTCTGCGTAGTAGCTCTCAATATTAGCGTTCTAAATGACTTGCTGCTGATAGTCAATTAAATTGTAGACTGGCTGCTTCAAGGGCTCGCTTAACCTTAAGTCAAAGGATTTGTGATAATTTCATAGCATTGCTTTACTCTCTAGGGTTTTCCTCCCCCCCTGCCTCCCCCAAAGACTGCAGTTGGTTCCTCACATGCCTCCAAGGACGTACTTTTGGAGGCAGAGGCTCTCCTTGGAGTCAGCATGGTGAGCGGTGTGCCAAAGTTTCCAAGCCTGCAGAAATTCCAGCGCCGTGGAAGCAGCATAACTTGTCTGTGCGAAGAAGAAACAACTCAAGTTGGCAGAAGACGTAGTATTTGGTAGTTCTGCAGTGAACAGCGTACAGCCCTTCGTACTTTGAGGGAAGGAGGGTAATGGATAGGCAGAAAGATGGAGATGTACCAAAAACCCCAAACACACACCCCAACAGCTAACAAAAAAATAATAACCCACAATTCCTTCCTCTTCGCTTCAAAGGTGAAAATGACTTCGTGTCCTCACATTGTCTGCTATCAAGTTTTACAACTGAGGTTATTCTGGATTGTACAAGGATTTTTTTTTTTTTTTATCAAGTCTTTAGCAAGAGCTAATTATTGGGGAAAAAGAAGATGCGTGAAAGCCTGTGGATCCTGCTCATCGCTGACTTTCCGGACATTTCCCAGTAGTTGTGGGAAGCCATTAAAACATCGTTTGCATATTGTCCTTTTAGACCTACAGTGCTACTGATACGTCTAAGAGCCAGAACACGAAAGACCAAGGGGACAACTTGCTTTGCTGTAGGAGCGGTGTACCAGACTCTCCACATGGTCAAGAGCTGCAAGATGGAAGACGAGAGCGCTTTGACTAGTTCAGGGGCTGTTAGACCTGGAGTTTGAGGGCTCACAGCGCTCCTGTGAGGGCTGGACGTGCAGCTGGGTTTGAGGCAACTTGGTGGTGTTGGCCACCTCCACCTCTCTTGGCTTCTTCCCCCACCAAGGGTTTGGATTCTTCCCCCACCAGCAGCATCGGTGCCTGTGAAGTCATCTTCTCTGTGTTAGCTCCCTGAGGGCTGCATCCAGCTATACGTGCTGTCATGTTTTGGAAATGAGGTAGCGCAGTGGCTGTGGTGCTCTTCAGGTGGCACCAAAATGCAGTGTGTTAACATCCTCTCTAACCCTGCTTGATCTGGCTTTTCTTAGTGCAGTTTCAAGTGTGAAACAGTAAGTGTAAACTGAAGTACAGTTCTGAGACAGCATACAGCTTTTTGGCTTGTTTTGGGCTCTTTTTGTCATGCGAGAGGAAGATAACGTGGTTTAACTCCACAAACGTGAACCACTGAATCTTTCTGATTTAAACTTCCTTCTATTTATCCCATCCATTCAGTGCGTTTCCTGTAATAAATCGTTCAAGAAGCTCTGGTCCCTCCATGAACATATCAAGATTATCCACGGATATGCAGAAAAGAAATTCTCTTGTGAGATTTGCGAAAAAAAGTTCTACACCATGGCCCACGTGCGGAAACATATGGTTGGTGAGTTATTGATCGGCGCTTCTGTTGGTTCTGCCTCATATCGTGTCTTTGTCGTTCTTAACTCAAAACTGCTGTTTTGAGGAGGAAAATAAGGCGGCAAATTCAGTTGTCTGAGCTTTATCCTTAGTAAAAAGTTTTAGTCTGTAGTACTGGGCAGCGAGCAAAGTATGTATGTCTGTACGTATGTGTATATGCTTATAAGCTGTTCAGTAGTGATCGTTTTCCTGCTCAGAGCTGGAGGAAAAAATTGGTTAAAGAACTGTTTGCATTTGAATGACCCTCTCTGATGTACTGTTGTGTTGCAGCACACACAAAGGACATGCCATTTACATGTGAAACCTGTGGAAAATCATTCAAACGCAGTATGTCTCTCAAAGTACATTCCCTACAGCATTCTGGAGAGAAACCTTTCAGATGTGAGGTGAGGCAGCAACTGTTAGTATGTTTGGATGCGGTAGTATACGGTGTAAAATTAGCGACACTGTCGGTAGGGAATGTAGGTGAATTGACTGACTTGTAAATGAGGTGCAGTTTCATAAAAATTTGGGGAAAGTTCTTCTCCATGTGGGCTCCAGGCATGCATCTAAGCACTCCTGAGATGGATTTGGTTTGCTTTTACTGATGGCTATCCTGTTTTTCTCAATGAATACACGCTACAGCAGGATTTGAATCCTAGTTTTCCAGTTGTGTTCACGGCAAAGGCTGATGCAAATGACATTAATCCTCCTTGTCCTGCCCGGTAACTTGAAACAGATAGAAGTGGCGACACTGAAAATAAACAAATTGCTGCTTGATTTTCACTTGTGGGAAAAACTTGTCCTCACTGCAAACTGTTACCTCCTCGAGATCTAAGAGAGTGCTCTGAATTTGTGTTTCTTAAACCGAGTATGTGTGGTGGGATGGGGCAGAGTATCTCCCCGATGCATTCACGTGTGTTTAAGATTGTAATTTTATGCCTGCCCTCGGGAAGGAGACCGTCATGGACAGACTTAACCCAGTCATATGTCTGGGGCAGATAATGTCTCGGTCATCTGATGGGGATGCTTGTGGGTATCACATGATGGAGGCAGAGGGGGTGCAGAGCCCTTCCTTTTTCCAGGGCAGATCTGGTGGCTCACCCTGCCCACGAAGTGGGGCACAACTCCAGCCAGACACTTAGTAGTAGTAATGGCGGGAGCGCAGCCAGAGTAGTCCTGGGGATAAG